GTGAGCAATTTTTTTCGAAAATAAATGTGTTCGAGTTTCTTGTGAGAAAATATATTCCAACCAACTTCAGTAAAATGAATTTGTGGAAAGCTGAGAGCTATTAACTTATATTTCATTATTTGTGTAACTAAATTATAGTATATTATTGTTTAACGAGCACGGAATGATAGTTATTTCCTACAAGAACGAAGTTTACATCATAGGAGTTAGCATTCCGTGCGAGTTATACACTCTACATTTTGTACGGGGTGGACCAGTGTATAACTCGTGGTACTCGCTCTACGAGTATTCAAATCCACATGTTGAGTTTTACACTGGTACATCGGATGTTATTTTTCGGGAGGGGCGAAATATTCTCGGAAATATTGACGCTCTGCCACTAACTTAGATCAGTTCGAATCGCGGCACGTTTGGATATTCCCCAAGGCGACATCTTCTTGTATTTGCTTTTTGTCGCAACTCGTTATCTAATGACGGAATTATGTCCAAAATAACGACAGCAAATAAATCGCTCTGTGTCCTGTATTTGACTCAGATTAAGAGGTGACACAGGTGGGTCTTTCAAATTGCGAAATTCAGTGCAAATTGCCCCACAGGAAGTGCGATTTTTCATACATTTAGCGCAGTAGTGATTGGCACAGGTGCCGTTCGATGAAATAATGTTTTTATCTACTCAGTGAATCTAAAGTAGGCGTTTGCTTCCTCATTTAAGAAAACAAAGTGAAGTTGTCAATTTACTCCCACTGGAGGAAAGAAATATTAACTCCCATGGGAGGTAAAATGAATTGGTTTCAGCATGCATTCTTTGGCGTCGATATACCTATAAAATCAGTGCAATCCACGTATCAATGTGTTTATCGCATTACTATAAAACAAATAACAATAATATCCTTTTTGAATTCCAATGATATCATACGCCTTAATATTCCGAACCTATTAATAATCAAAACTTTCAAATGCAGTTACACAATATACAAATCAATCAATTCATGATGACAGAAGTGTCGAATTGAATTTTGTTCAAATGCCGTCAATTGTCCATGGCATATACTATACCTTTGTAATGAAAAATGATTTGGATCCAGAGATAGACATCCTGAAGCACAATTTCGAGAATGATGCTTTAAAAGAATGCGTTCATTGATAAAATCATATACAGGGTGTTTCAGATTAAAATGTAGATACGATATCTGTAGATAGGGGACACTGTGATGGTTCTTCGTATAATCTATCCATACTTGGTAGAGCTATTTCACTTATATTACCCATCAAAACTAAATGAAAATCGGGATCAGAATCCAGGTCCGTTTTGAGGACAAAAAAAAACTTCTTTTATATCAAACACAATACTCTGTATGGCAAAATTTTTTAGATCTGTTTCAATATTTCAAAAGAGCAGGGAAGAACGAATGAACTGACCTACTTTTTACGACCGCGCATTCGATTTAACAGATGTTTTATTATTATTAATACACTCGGCTCCATTTTGAGTCTTTTTTATTGAACTCGTAATTCAAAATACAATTATTTCACAAAATAATAACGTCCTTCGGAGTTCAACATCATTGGGGTGAAATAGATAAATCTGTTCGTTCGACAGAATAACGTCTGTGGTTTTGTTAATTTTTGAGGGCTTGTTTTATTCTTCACTATTGATTCATCTTTCAATAGTTCACCTAATTTGTTTTTAATGACGATCAACTTTGAAGACAATTATTTTTTTTGTATCAAAATTGGATTTTGAAAAACAGTTCAATGAAAATTCCTCGAAATGGGGTGAATATTTCAAAACATAATAATAAACCATCTGTCAAATTGGATGCGCGCTTGTTATAAGTAGGTCACTACATTAATTTTTTCCTGCTCTTTCCAAATATCAAAACAGATCCACAAAATTTTGCCATACAGTGTTGTTTTTGAAATAAACAAGTTTTCTGTTTTTCCTTAAGTCGGACCTGGATTCTGATCTCAATTTTTATTTAGTTTTGATGTGTAATATAGGTGGAATATTTCTACCAAGTATGAATAGATTATACAACGTAGTTCAAAAATTATGACCAGATGAAAATTTTGCCAAAATCAAGATAACGTCCTGTATCTCAGTTATAAAAGACGGTAAACATATCAATGGGGGCGATTTGACACCGTCAAAGTGTCCTCTATCTGCCAGTATCGTATGTATATTTAAGTCTGAAACACCCTGTATATATCATGGGAGCAAAGGTTCATTTCCTCCCATGTGTGTTTGATGCCCTCCGCTACGCGTCGTGCACCAAACTCCACACGCGGGAGGAAATGGATACCTTTCCTCCCTAGATATATGAATAGTTATTACATGCATTTGGAACATATAACATTTCGTTATCAGTCGAAACTTCCAGCAGGATCTCCTAACTAAATGATCTGCTTTTTTAGTTGCCTTTGATTTGAAAGTAAATGCTGCCAACGTATAGCACAAAATGCCTAAACCTTTCTAAGTGAAATATAGCAGTAGAAGTCTCCCAATATCGCATACTTTCTAAAAATAACGACACGTGGGAGAATCTTTATAAATTTCCTCAGTTTCAAACCAAATTTACATGCATCATGACAGATTCATTCGACGACCTTCCCATTTTCACAATTTTCTCACTTAATATACAGAAAAAAAATGGTTTTCATATGACCCACACAACCACAGTCCATGATAGAAGCTCAGCAAAGCAAATATCTATACCTACTCAATAAACCACCAATGTTCTTATCGATTATCATCAGAGATGTCAAGTTGAGTTTTTTACGAATCATATTTTTTTATTCGTCGCCACAAACGTTGACGACGAGATGAATATTTTGAAGAATTCCCCAATCCGAGTCGTTATTGGTCACAAATTACGTGATACATTTTGAAAGCATGCGCATTTTCTCGCAGAAAATCTTAGAATTAATGATGGGACCCCGAAGAAGCAAAAAACATTTTTGAAAGCTCTCATGACAACATTTCTAGAAAGAATTATCGGTTTTCTGATTTTAGGAAGGATCAAATTTTCGTTGAAAGACCCTGTATATCCGTTAGGAAATTTAATAGTGATTAAAAATGCTAAATTTATTTCTCGGTTATTTACTCAATTGTGGTATGATCGTTAACTAGAATTCAATTTTGCGGAGTGCTGTGTTGATGTAGTTTGTTCGGGAATAAGAATTTCTTATAGTTTATATTAATAGAAATCCTCCAAATACACAATAACCGTGTCGGTGACGAGTTAAAAACAAACAATGGACTTCAGAATTATGGGAAATATATTTTCTCTCGAAACAATCACAAAAATAGCGAGTTGAGATTAAAAAGATGTTCTTGAATTAATGAGTTCAAAGTGAATTCAAATACGATTTGTTGGACTCTTAAACAACTCTTAATTTCCAGTTCCAGAAATATTGACGAGATATTTACTTTATCTGTGATGTGAATTAGTATTGTTCACATTCAATACATAATTTAAATAATATTCTTTTTCTACTCACATAACTAAAATGGCATTTAGCGTACGGATAGGTACCACGCTAAATGATCGATTAATCACGGATTGTCGATCTGTGATTTATTCGAAATATTAAACACGTTACCATGGCAACAAGATTTCTTAAACACATTACCATGGCAATGCAGTTCATTAAACACAGCTTCGGTTATTTGAGACATGTCTGGCCTATCCATTGTATTAACTGTCAACTGTTATTTCAAAATATTGTATCAGAATTATTCAAACAATATCCGTTTGTATCAGAATTCTTCATTAAAAATATATGCGAAAGAATGTTCTAGTACTTGAATATCTCCAAGAAGTGTCAAAATGAAGCATCCATCTTTGAGAACAATTTATTCATTCTTCGCTAAGCATGACAATAAACGTGAAACAAAGGTTAGTAAGCAATGGACTGGACACATCTACAACCGATATCACTTATACGTCGTGTCTCGCTGGTTGCATGCAGTTGCATGTATTATGTTCTCAATTCCCATTCCTTTTGAATTGATTTGTAGGTTAGCAGGAATAGCAGGTATGTTAATGTAATTTTCGGAGTTCGTAGAAAAATCATAGTATGTAACGCGTTTATAAACTCTTCTAGACACTCGTTTATTAAACACTCGCTCCGCTCTGCTCCGCTCGTGCTTAAAATACTCGTTACTAAAAGGACGTTTATAACACTTGTTACATAATATACTATTAATACTCACATAACTAAAATGGCATTTAGCGTACGGATATGTACGCTAAATGATCGATTAATCACGGATTGTTGATCTGTGATTTATTCAAGATATTAAACACGTTACCATGGCAACACGATTTCTGAAACACATTACCATGGCAACGCAGTTCATTAAACACAGCTTCAGTAATTTGAGACATGTCTGGCCTGTCTATTGTATTAACTGTCAACTGTGATTTTCGAATTTTGTATCAGAATTATTCAAACAATATTCGTTTGTATCAGAATTCTTCATTAAAAATATACGCGAAAAGTAGACGAGAGTGAAATCGAAAAGAATGTTCTGGTACTTGCATATTTAACAGTGCTGCTACTAAAGTAGCGCATGGAGTTAGTAACAAAGCCTACACAGAAAACGCAGAAAGAGATGATGATTTGGTTGTGAGCATCAGAGAAGAAGTAGGACGGGGTACGTAGGTGGGTGTGGAAAACAACCAGCTGAGCGTGAGAACTGGCCAGTGCTGCTCAGTGGAACTCGGTTTCTAACGGGGGTTAACGAGAATAGGTAGCAGGCCTGCAACTGCAGCATATGGTATGGTACATTACTAGCCTACGAAGCACAACCGAAAAAACTCTGAAAGAGAGCTGATGGACGGTGCCTGAAAAGAATGTTAGCCAGCTCTCCTAAGCGAACTACATCGTTCATTAAAAACACCTTGGGGCTCTGGCAAGAAAGTCCCATTAGGGACTAGTTGCTGACGTGCAAACGTCCCCCACCAGTACCAGTAGTAGTAGTAGTCTCCACTCACCCTTCGGTCTAATAGAAATCGCTGGGCGACAAGCCGCTGCCCTTTCGGTTCATGGTCTGCTGCAGGTAGCTGGGACGGCGTGGTACTGTCCCCACGTGCAGACTGACCTCGTCCTCGGACACGTCGTACCGCCCGAAAGCGTCCTCCACGGGCTCCGAGCTTAGGGCCGGCGGGTTGTACGCCCTCTGGCGGCCGTGGACGATTCTGCAATGGAGACAGTAGTTGAACTAGATCTCACAGCTAATAGCGAATGCCATTCGTAATCCTTGTGGTGCACTAGTTATGCACCAGTTTTGTACTGGTACTACGTTGGTTTTCTCCAAACTGTGGACTGGTGCATTCCCAAAAGGTCGCGTGCACGATGACCGACCCTGGAGGTAAAATATTGAAACACAACCTCACTTTTTTTGTTTGTTTACAGAGGAATCAAAGGATTGAAATAGTTTTTCACAATATTTCGGCATACGAATCGTGTTTTTGCGCTATTCATTAATTCAAGCATTCCTTCTCATTGTGCTGTTGTACAATGCACAAAAAATGCAGCGAGAGACGAAGGAATATGATTTTTCAGGTAAATAGTAATCTCACATAGTTTTTATTATGGAATTTTGTAATTTCTTATTAAAATTCCTTCTGCCACTTCTGCAATAGAAGCTAATAGATTGAAAATGTCTACAACATACATACAACTCTTGTTTCATTCGCGATAGAAAATAAGCGTACGCCACCTATCGGAGTTCTTGGAAGTTGTCAAAGCGGCATGTTTACTTTGTTTTCATTGGTTCACATTCGTTTTTTGTTTGTGCTCATTGGTCACATCATCAAAACGAACCGCTCAGAAGTGTTCAAGTTGTTGCCGTCAGGTGGAGCGACATGTTATTTTCTTTCGCGAATACCAGTCATCCCGTTTGATTGCATAATAAATCGAATCTTCTTGCATTATTTTAAAAAGTCCACGAGTATTTCTATAAGCTTCTATTGCAGAAGAAATTCCGATGAGAAATCGAAGAAATTACCAAATTTCAAAAATTAAAACTATATGTGAGTGTTGGAATGACTGCAGTAGGTACTTACTTTTGAATCATAATCTACCAACCGGTTTCATTCGTCTCTCGCTGCACTTTTTGTGCATTGTACAACAGCACAATGTGATGGCATGTGCGAAATAATGAATAGCCAAAAAACAGAATCATATGCCAAAATAATTGTGAAAAACTATTTCAATCACTTGTAAACAAATAAGAAAATTGAGGTTGTGTTTCAATGTGAAACCAGGGTCGGTCATCTGACAGTTCTTGCACGCAACCCATGGCATAGGAAATAACATGATCATTGATCAAATAATTGTTAGAGATTAGATTGGTTGAGTTGGTTTGTTTTTGTTCATAACTTCTCGAAATTAAATCGAATTCGTCTTATGAATGATTTATTTCCTACAAACCTATGGAAAGAAATGGTTCATAATAGGAATGCCTATGCGCTGTATTGATATGAACTCATAAGGCATATACATGCAAGATTTCCACTTTATTGAACTCAATATCCATTAATTCATTTAGTACTAGCAGACCTCGCAAACGTTATTTTGCTCAATACATTGTTTCGATAATATATTTTTTCAGTTCAATATTCATCAAGACACTATTATTATTTTATTCTTTACTTCTTTTTAGTTTCACTATCTATAAAAGCGTGTTTCTTTAGTTCTTCAAACTTCCATTTATTTCAACTTCTTTGTAGTTCACTTGAATTTCCCAATTTTGACGAAACAATCATAATATCCGACTCCTGAAATCCCAGATGAAAATTTTGAATAGAATCGGAAAATAATTACAAAAATCATCCGCAATATTGGATCTACCATCTTGAATTCCCTAATTTTGACGGAGGAATCATAATTTTTTATCCTTACAAATTTTGAATAGAATCGGTATATGTATAATTACATAACTCGTCCGGTATATTGGATCCACCATCTTGAATTTCCATAATCTCCGATCCCGAAAACACCCAGATAACAATTTTGAAGAGAGTCGGATCATAATTAAAATACTCGTCCGCGATAGTGGGTCTGCCATCTTGAATCCCTCAATTTTGACGAAAGAATCATAATCTACGACCCCAAGAACCACCAGATTCCAAATTTGAATGAAGTCGGATCCTAAATACAAAATCCGCCATTCTGGATCCGTCAGCTTGAATTCCTTAATTTTGACGAAGGAATCATAATGCCCGATCACGAAAACCCCTAGGTACCAATTTTGAAAAGAACCGGATTATAATTAAAAAATTCGTCCGCCATATTGTTTACGCCATCTCGAATTTCCAAATTCCGCCCGAATCTTCAAATTCTGACGAAAGAATTATAATCTCCGACCCTGAAAACCCCCAGGTTCTAATTTTGAATAGAATCGGACCATAATTACAAAACTCGTCCGATATATTAGATCGGCCATCTTGAATTTCCTAGTGGTACCAAGATAAAAGTATCCTATAACCTCCTCCCGGTTCTAAGCTATATCCCCACCAATTTTCAGCCAATCCATCCCTTCACTAGCAATACCAATCAGACGAACTAGACAAGCCCAGTCAGCACATCCTTTCGTTGTCAACCTCGAAAGATGTCGAACAGCACTTTATCAAGACTCCTTCATCCATAGAACGGCTAGGCTCTGGAATTCATTGCCTGTGGAAGTATTCCCAACAACATAATATAATCTCCAGAAATTCAAAAACCTACCTCCTGTCCCTATCCTCCCTAGGAACGCACGATGTTCTTTGAACATTATAGGGATTCCCTTTCGTGCGCTCCAATCGATAAAAAAAAATAAAAAAAAGTTTCGGAGCCAATTCAATACATACAAACAAACAATCAAACCTCTCCTCTTTATAATATTAGTATAGATAAAAATGATATGTTTTTCTGCAGATAATGATTTCTGCCATCATGAGATGTGTTCTCTGTAAGAACTGCGATTTTTTTAAATTTTTCAATCAATCTAGGTATGATATTTTATGAGGCAGCTGATCGCCTTGCAAAAAAGGTGCAGCATCTGCACTTTTTGGTCCTGAGCCTTTTTGTGGGATAAGCAAATGTCACCTAAAGGGAGAACTCAGGAAATGGAAAGAAATTGAAAGTCCTCCTACTGGAGAGCAACTCCAGGTCAACGACAAGCGAAAAGGTTCATCAACCATTCGCAGAACCGAGCCAAAGAGCTACTCAGCCTCAGCAAACCAGAGCTAAAGCTTATCACAGGCTTTCTCACAGGACACGGCCCTCTGAGGTACCACCTCAAAAAGATGGGCCTGGCGGAGACTGACACTTGCCGCTTTTGTAACAATGCGACCGAAACCGCGGAACACATACTTTGCTCATGTGAAGTATTAGTCCGCCAAAGGCTGAACCACCTAGAACAGGTCTATCTCACCCCTGCTGAGGTGGAAAATTGAACCGTCAGGAAAATTGTAGGCTTCATCAGAAGTCTAGGGTTAGAGGACCAAAACTAGATAGGGGTGGTAATCAATAGATCTTCTAGGTCGCAGTGATCGAGAGGTCTCCCAGCCTATACGACCCATCTACAATCTACATCTACAGGTATGATAACCTATAATAGAAGTCCATGGTTTCTCAAAGATGAGTAATTGGATGAAGTAGGTAGTACGAAAAATATAAGATCGCACTAACTGCGGAAAATATGTACAGGTGTGCACAAAAAATTAGGAAACTTGTTGCTTTCTAATAGTCGCGTTTTTTCGGTCCGACCGACTCAAATTTGATGAAACTTCCTTTTCAAATGCAAACAAAACCTTGCTCATCTGTATTCGAGGCCTTCGCACTAACTGCGGAAAAAAATGCAAAGGTGTGCTCAAAAAATTGGGAAACATGTTGAGCCATAATGAGTGTGTTTTTCAGCTCAGACCAACACGAAAACAACTTTTTTTTATAACATAACAACAGAGTGTACAAGTGTGCTCAAAAAAGGAAAATTTGTTGCTCTACAATGAGTGCGATTTTGTGATCAGACTCAAATGGAACGACCTTCCTCATCGAAAGAAACATCTCGCTCACCTGTATTCGAGGCATTTGCACTAACTGCTGAAAAAAATGTACAAGTGTGCTCAAAAAATAGGGAAACCTGCTGCTCCACAAAAGGTGCGTTTTTGTGCTCAAACCGATCCAAATCGATTAAGACGGCTTTTTTAATAAAAAACGTCTCGCTCACCTGTATTCTGCGTATGAACGACAGGACACTGTTGTAAAACATCGCATCTATATGCAAGGCCTTCGCACTGACTGCGAGAAAAATGTACTGGTGCGCTCAAAAATTTAGGAAACCTGTTGCGCCCCTAATAGGCACTTTTTTTCGGTCCGACCGACTCAAATTCGATGAAAGGACCTATTTAAATGCAAACAAAACCTTGCTCACCTGTATTCGTGGCCTTCGCGGCTGTGTATGAACGACACGACTTCGAAGTCGTGGCTGACGTGCCGCTCCAGACGCTCGACGATGTCCCAGAAGACGGGGCGATCGTTGGGCAACCAGCTCCAACATTGGCGCATCAGCTCGTAGAGCAGGTCCGAACATTCCGGCGGTCTGTTGAGGCGACCTTTCGACGTCACGAACTTGAGGACCTCCTCATTGGACAGACCTTCGGAGAACGATAACGATCAGTGTTAGTTGTGGTCGTCATTATTTTCGTGATAGATCTATTACTATTTCATGGAGGTTTTTACGTTTTTAGGTTTTATCATGAATCTAATACTGTAATAAACTTCACAAACGATATGAATTTCACAAAACATGTTTTGCTAACACAGTGTAATATCCTGGGATATAGAAAGAAAATGCAACACCTGGTACATTGATTTCATGATAATTATTATTGAATAAATTTGTTGATGAATAAGATCAAGGATTTCCATAGCTAAACAATTCGAATTATCGACCCAATAAAATAATATAAAGATGCAAGTTCAGCAAAAACTGTTGTTCAATTTTTGGTAGCAACGGCTGACGCAATGCTGCTACAAAAAGTTGTCGAGATGGAAAAACGAAAAATAACTGGGACAGTCAGCGACCAGATTTTTGGCAAATCAGGTCGGTCCGGCGAAAGAATCTCGTAGTGGTCGCGTTTAGAAAAAAGAGTCATTTTTTAAGTATCAGGGTAGTTTCGTTCGTGTTGAATCCGGGAGTGTCTCGAGATCCAAAGAAAAAAACTGAGACGACGACGTCGCAGAATCGGTAAGTCTTTTGATATTTTCGTGACTAATACTGTGGGGTTGCATTTGATTTTCTGATCCCAGATTCTTTTATATGTACTATCTACCAGTACTGTATGTACGTTGCCACCCTACACCGGGTAGTTTTGGTTACTGGTACATATAAACAGCGTCTGGCCCTTTTCTCGGTGCAATTGATGGCAAAATTTGACTATCTAGATATCGTAGACTCGCACGTTTATATTGGCCAGAAAACAATTGAAATTTTACCATTCTTTACTGCCCGGTATTAGAATTAGTTCAAAGTCACTCTAGCTCTTTGTACGATGCGTGTAGCATGAGAAGATTTTTTTTTCTTTCGTTTTGTCTCCCAATTAAACTACTCAACTCTGAATAACTTGCCTACTTTCGTTCCATATTTTTTTAATAAACTTGTAAAATCTCATTCAGTTGTTTCACTCAGAAATCAAACCCGTGAAGAGAAATATCAGCCATTAGCGGCGAGTCTACACTGCCGTAACTGCTAAGGAGGTATCACCTGAGTTTTTTTGACCACCCATAAACTCTCCCCCCATAGTGATCCTAAAAAGACCCCTTTAACCATTCATAGGGGGCACGAATCCACTACAGCCCCTTAGGACGCAGGAAGCCGAAGCCGTAGCCTTATCTGGGAGCTGGAGGGTACCAGATTGGTACATCACCCTCGTGGTAAAGGAGCCCCTCTGTATATTTCGTTTGGTGACGGCTTTGTCTTTTCGTTTGGTGACGGTGGAGGTATTACAACAGTAGCTTCTTCAAGTGAAGTACTGGTACAATAAACTGTATCAGTATAACCTATCGATTATCGTAATATGAATAATTTACGAGACGAATATAGTGAAATATTTTTTCAACAACTATGAAGTCATTCATACATACAAACTCGAAATTTATAATTGAAGATTTGTTGCCTTCAGGAAATTTTACTCAGAACACCTCTCCGTTCAATTTTCAGGCATCAAAATTCTCATTAAAATGCCAAGTTTACTTCGACAAAAACAACTCTCGTGCAATTATAAGTGGAAAAGGACGTGTACAATGTCCCTGAATGTATGTTCTAATTGCGTGGAAACCAGAATTAGTTTCCCAATTATTATAATCATGCATGTTTTTCCTCGTCCCCTTTTTCAAACACACTCATTAGAAGTGCGGCACAATAAGTTGATTGGTAATTTATTTCTCAATGAGAAATTCGATGAGTTCTGTTTAATTAGGTAGTAATCCAAATGAATGAAACCAATATATTCCGTGCCGTTTGAAACTCCGATAATAACTTGTACAGATAGATCAGGTGGGCAGATTCGATTCTCTTCTCAAAAATGGTATACTACGAGCAGAGATTAAAAATCTATGCTACGAGTATAGAGTCCAGAGACGTAGGAGACATTTGTGAATAAATAGGGTTCACCTTCGGTATTATGAGTCAATAGGAATATAGAATATCAGTTATTCAATAATTCATAAATTCTCCATTGAGTATTGGTAATATTCCTAATTAGCAATGAAAATTTAATTGTCTCAAAATGTTCTTTTATGATTTGAGGCTTATTGCTTATAATAATAATTATTATATTTATTCACACAAGAGGACATTTGAATCGGTGAACGTGACAACCCCGCGGACGACTTGTGATCGTGGTCTTGTCAGTTCTCAGCAATCAGCACAATGTTGCCAAGGCTCCAACATTCACATAATATTTGGTTATGGAGAATGAGAAATATTTGTATATTATAATGTATACTTATGATATTGTATAATATACCTCAGAATATTTCTTTTCAGACGACTTTTTCTAAACAATCTAACCTCACTTGACCTTCATGAACCTTCTTCATAGAAAGGTCACTGCTTCTCTCATGGGACTCTATTCGTACCCATGCTGGGACTCTACTGGTATTCTCCAGATCAGATATCCTCAGATTCTATATTACATCTAATATATCTATATTTTGGTTATAAGAAATTTAAAGTGTCCTATTACCTCATGAATAATGACAGTAACCACTACAAGAGCCTATTCGACTAGTAAGAATTCATAGTGATTTCAGTCAGGAAATTCCGCACAATTTTTTATATCAACTGATACCCGATATTTGTCTAGTCTGAATAAAGACGACAATTCCGAAAACAAAATTATGTGATTTCTCGACCAGACCCTTATTCCAGACTTCAATAATTAGCCACTGCAATTTCGTTACCGAGGTGATGAATCACATTCTCCAAAGAGTTCTATAGAATTTCCCGTCTAGATGGAAATCCTATTTATACGAAGGAAATTACGTTTCATGTCTCCATTTTATTACTGCAGTTGGCGGTTCAGCTCTATATTCCGTCAAAACAAATTTATATGCAATGAAACTGATATACGGTACACGGAGTGTTCTACTTCGAGCGACCACACCCTGTGTACGTGAAAAGATGGTTAGTCCGTCAACCATTTTATTCCTAAAATGTTAATATTCAATCTGCCATTTCAAGTTTCGGATTTTGGGCCCCCATTTTCTATTTACAGGGCGCCAATTAGAGGTGATAATGGACAAGTTCACCGTTTCCTTTTATCCCACAATATTTTCTATTGCAATCGGAATAGTTATCAATTAATAACGGGGTGTTCTAGAGTTGTGGTGAAAAAAGCCTGGAGGAGATTCCTCTCGAAAAAATATAAAACAAAGTTCATATGATCATGGGTTCTAAAATACTTCCGTTTCCGAGATACATGGTGTCCAAGTTTATTTCCATCCTGAAAACACTCAAGCCGATTAGAATAAAATTGTTATGGTTGATTTTCACAATTTTCAGGTATTTACTGGACCAATTACAATTTGATCCAGATTTTCCAGGAAGGTACCTACCCATCGAGCAAGCCCTTTTATTTAGAAAAAATGCCACCCTGTGTTTTTTGTTAGTTCTTAAATATTCAGATAAACCCACTGCTAATACAACATTTTTTTCACCTGCTAGTTTTTCGTATCTTCTTACGTTTTCGAGAAAAACAGTCAATATTTCATTACCTCGGCATATCTCTGAACTCCATAAAGAAAAAGAAAAATGCTTGCACATTGTTATTAATGAGAACAATGAAGACATGATAGTTATTCATACACCAAGGCAGTAAAGAATATCATGATAACCCAGGGACCAAGATTAGATATCCAGAATATCCTGCAACGATATCCACTGGACATCCATCGGATGTTCATGTGTGCTATAAGCCAACTGAAATTTCTTCAAGAATAAGCGCCCCACACCAGTCCCCACACTCACCTTGATACGGCTGCTCCGCCAGAGTAGCGATCTCCCACAGCACGATCCCGTAGCTCCACACGTCCGAATCCGAGCTGAACACACCGTCAGCCAAACTCTCCGGAGCCATCCACCTCACCGGCAACAACCCCTTGCTCTCCTTCCTATAGTAATCAGTCTCATAGATGTCCCTGGTCATCCCGAAATCCCCCACTTTCACCGTCCTATCGCCGGCCACCATGCAATTCCGCGCCGCCAGGTCCCTGTGCACAAACTTCCTGGCCGCCAGGTACGCCATGCCGTCGGCTATCTCCGCCGCCATTCGATAGATCTCGTTCGAGGTCAGGTCGCGCGACGAGTCCCGAGTCCTCCGGAGGAACCTCTTAAGATCTCCGCGGTCCATCAGCTCCATCACCACCAGCGGCGGTTGGCCTTTGGACACGACCCCAAGGAGTTTGACCACGTGATGGCAGTTGCTGAAGGACTTCATCACCGAGGCCTCGTTGAGGAACTCCATGCGATCCGGCATGCTGAGGGTTGCGTTGATAGTCTTCACGGCGCAAGGTAAGTTCCGGGACTTTATCACGCCATAGTTCACAGTACCAAAAGTACCGCGGCCTAAGTCTTCCCCCAACTCTAAGTCGTTTCTGTCTATCTCCCATTCGTCCTCTTCGTAAACAACCCCTTCGTAGTCAGGGTTTATGCTGGGAAACAGACGGATGTTCTCTAGTATCTGTTTCCTCTTGTACAGCCAATAGAAGCCGATGGCTGCTATGATTAAAAGAAAAGAGACGACTAGCACCGGTACTATGATCACCACATCTTTAGCTGGCGCACTGATGGAAAAACTATATTTCCTGCTGAATTTTCCTAGCCCTGCTAGAGACTCGGCTCGGATCCTAACTGAGTAGCTGCCAGGTGTCAAATTGGGAAGAAGATATTCCGGGCCTTTGAAACTGGAGTTCCTGGGCAAACAATCGATGGTGGTGGATCCTAGATGTTTTACGTCATCTTTCATTATTTCGAACCGATAAGATACTATAACTGAGTTTGGGTTGGTAGGTTCTGTCCAAGTGATTTTGACAGAGGTAGTGTCGATGTTTTCAATGTGCACGTATTTGATGTCATCAGCTTCTTCTTCCTTCTTCGTTCTAGCAAAGAGTTGTAAAATAGGACTGCACCTTCTATTCTCCGTAGGTTCGTTGCACGCGGAAAAGTAAAAGATGTACATGGTAGAATGGTTGAGATTCGTTATATTGAATGAGGTTAGATTGGGAAATATGTAATACTGATTGCTTGTATTTACGAAACCATTCTGTTGACCATCGTTTCTTTTGTTGATCACTATGATATCCGAATTGTCATGAGATATGACTTTGTAAATGAATTGTTTGCAATCGTCTCTCTGGAACTTGGATTGAGCCAGGTCTTCGCAAAGTTCATACCTGCGGTCGAAACTGTGGATGGTTATATCTTTGAACTCAGAGATTGTATTTTTGTTGGGAGGAAATTTCGGTAGAGGACAAGAACAGTTCGACTCATAGGGTATATCGATGATGACAGTCTTATTTCCGAGTTTGGGCTCGATCTCCATATCTTCAGAATCTTCATCGATTTTGTAGCCATCTAATCTGAAAAATGTTTTTAAAATTCACTGAATGTATACAGGGTGGCATTAAAATGAATACAGCGATATGAGAATCTCATATATACAAGGTGTTTTTGAAATAATTGCACATATTTAGCACATTAATATGATACCGTCTAAGGAATATTTCAATAAAATCAGATTTTTTTCAATTCTCTTAACGAGAAATTTCATCTCAAAATTTGACAAAAAAACAGACAGACAGGAAAAAATCAAGTATGCCACTTTGAAACAATTTAAATCAGAGGAGATGAAAATCACGCCTAATAACCTAGAACTAGCCATACGCTCACTGGACTCAAAAAAATGTGCAGGTCCAGACGATATTCCGGTATCGTTCATTAAACAATGCGAAGACAACTTATACCTCTCATATATATTTATAATTTATCTCTTCGAAATGGTATCTTTCCTTCTAAATGGAAAGTCTCTCAGATTATTCCAATTCACAAAAGTGGTGATAGACACAATATCAAAAATTATAGACCCATAAGCAAATTATGCATTTTTGGCAAACTTTTCGAGAAGATTATTTACAACGTAATCCTTGATCAAGCTAGAGATATAATAATTCAAGAACAACACGTATTCTTTCCTCTAAGATCGATAGAAACGAATTTGATAGATTTCACAAACTTTTTGCTAGACTCAATGGACGATCAAGTTCAGGTGGATGCTGTGTAAACCTATTTCAGCAAGGCTTTCGATAAAATTAGTCACAACATCTTGATACAAAGACTGGCTGAAGTTGGTGTGAGCACATTCCTATTGCGATGGATTTGGTCTTACTTGGTTGGCAGGACACAGGTGGTAGCACAAAACGGATTCAATTCAGAATCCTTTGAAGCAACATCTGGGGTCCCCCAAGGCAGTCACTTAGGACCATTGTTCTTCATAATTTATATAAATGAAATAATCAAATCTTTCAAATTTTGTTCAATTCTATTATATGCAGACGACTTGAAACTTTATCACACTGTGAAGGATATAAGCGACTGCAGAAAAATACAAGAAGATTTGAACCGTCTTTCATTATTCTGTGATGATGATAGCCTATTTACATTCAAATCGCACATAGAAAAAAATCAACGAATGCAATAAAATGATTTCTAAAAAGAAGTTGTCACAGTTTTAGGAATATAAAATGTCTTTTGAGTATTTATTATGCTTATGTGCACAGTAAACTTTGTTTCGCATCCGTCGTTTGGAATCCCCAATATCAAATTCATATTGACAGAATTGAGAGGGTACAAAAAAAATTCTTTAGATTTATTGCTTACAAATCGAATATAGAAATAATAAATAGTGACTACATACCACTGATGCGTGAACACAGCATGTTAGCTCTCAAAGATAGAAGAAATGTTACAGATCTATTAACAATTCTCAGACTAATGAAAGGACTAGCTCAGAGTCCAAACCTTGTTTCGAAAATTGAATTCAATGTTCAAAGTAGATTACTTAGACGCCTAGAAATTTTCAAAATTCCTTTCAAAAAAACAAACGCTGCCCAAAATTCACCATTATGTAGGATGCTCAGAATATTCAACAGCACCTGTAATGATCTGAATTATTTCGAACTAAGTCTGGATTGTTTCAAATTCAAAATGAAAAAATATTTCATCGACCATCTCTAGACCATCTCCAGGTTGGTGCCATACGAGCGATCGCATTCATTTTCACTGTATATGTATACCATTTCCTTCAATACTCTTCACTTTCAATTATTTTGTTTATAATATATTTTAATTTTTGTTGAGCCCACTAGAAAATTATGTAGAGGGTTCTGTTTTGGATTTTCAATCTGTTTGTAACCCCTATTTTGGCAAATAAATAAATAAATAAATAAAATGATTGGAATCCGCGTGATTGTGCCTACCGCATGGGAATTTGAACAGTCAGATTTGCTACAGTGTAGAACTTTGGGTTGAAAAAGGGGTCCAACCTCAAATTTTATTTTGATCCCAAGCTTTTTTTATTAGCGCCATTCGATAGTACACGTCAAGCTTTCTCAGTGTTTTCGAAATATTTGCACTTATTTCAATGCCACCCTGTATATAAAATATTAATTTTTATATTGTAGGTAGGTATTAAAATTTCCATAAAACTGGGATGGGCCTGGTGGCATTTGTTCACCCTGCATTACGAGAGATTCATCAAGAAATTCATGAGATGTATAAGGACGCAAAACGTTTTCCGCATACTAATAACAGCTTTTCAACTTGTTCATTCCCAATGTGAATATGAGCTACTCTCAGTAATTAACATGAGAGTTTTCACAAAATTTAGATTAATGAATGCGCTATACCATTAGTCTTAATAAATGTTCGGATAACAGAACCATTCATCATTGGTATATATTGTTGGAGTTATTAATAACTAATAACCAGAACAAGTTACTCTACAAATTCAAATAGGAGAATACTTCGAAGTTTCAGGAAGTACGATAAGTTCAACAAATGTTCTACTACGCCTAGACACCTCCGCTTCTCAAACAGGGATTAATGCAACCGTATGACAAGATAAACAATATGAAATCATGTATACCAGGTGTCCCAGATCGATTCATACAGCCGATATCTCACTTACACTGCTTGGAAAACAAATTGAAAAAAATTACACTTTTGTCAAGCCCATATGACTTTGGAGTTGTTGTGTCAAAGGCAACTCCTGTCATTCTACCTCTGACTAATTCAAGCAATTAACAAATGAACCAATCTGAAGCTCAAGTCGTCTGTTCGATAACACCGAACTTGACTCTCGACTCTGATTGGCCTGTCAAGATCGGTGTTTTCAATGTGTATGTGACAGTAAAACGTCAAATATAAGTAATAACGCTGTTCAGTTTCGTTCAGAAATGAATCGACAGACTTTTCGCGAAAATTGTGGCATTACTGGTGAAAAGACACCACCAACTTCAATTACCGTAGAATGGGGATGCTTGGAACTGCGGGGTAAATTGGAACAAAACTTGATATTTTCAAATTACCCCCTGAAATCTACAGCTGATTACATATTAAAATATCGTTTCATGCATAGTTGTTCAGTATGTTTATATACTACTCGATTGAAAATAAGTGGCGAATAAATATTGTTTCAGGAATGTTGTTCATCATATTGAAACTACAAGCAGCGAAATGACAGAAAAAATAACATCCCAATCTTCAAGTCAGAAGACATGATCGATTCATTTCATGTTCTGATATCTGCAAGGAGCAGGAAAAATCAATGAATTGGTCTACGTTTTAACAGTGCGCATCCAATTTGAAGAATAGAATTTTTATTGAACTCGTAATTCAAAATCCAATTTTATCAAAAAAAACTAACCAGTCCTCAAATTTCAACTTAATAAGAGCTGAATTAGGTGGACTATCGATTAATTTTGTTCCGTAGAATAATTTGTCAATTATGTTAGTTATTTTCGTGTGCTTATTACATTTTCACACACACAAATGTCAAATTTGATGCACCATTATAAAAAGTAGGCCACATTGTTCATTATTTTCCTACTCTTTATAGTTATCAAAACATATGTAGAGATTTTATAAAGATTATATTTTCAGCCTGTGTTCAATCATTAGAATTTCGAAAATGATACTGTCAGAGTATATCCGTGTTCAATACTTCATCTTATATTTTGTATATTATATATATTTTCCCCCCGTATAATTTCATCATCATAAGTCATAGAATTTCCCCCGTATAATTCCATTATCATCATTTGTCATAGATAAATCATTTGTTCGGAAATTAATCGGTTATCAGCATGATTCAACTTATTAGTCATTCATTCGGGGTGGTAAGTCATCAAGACAGTCTCATATTAGTTATCATCACGTACGGTTGTATTTTGTGATCGACATTGCGGAAGGAATTATTTATCGTTCCAAACGGAGTGTTCCCTAAAAAATGAGTGATGTTAATGTGTTTCTGTATTCCACATTCAATAATTCATATCGCGATCATGTGTTTTTCTGGTGTTTTCTTCTATTTTTTTTATCATGATTGATAGTATAATCTGATAGGTATCTTGAGCCGATACCACTCGATACATCTAGAAATTTCAGAGTAGCTACTCCTTTGATTTATTTCCACTACGTGTGACCAATACTTATAAAACAAAAATTGTTTGTCTGTATGTCACTGTTGTGAATTATTTCTTGGTAATGGAAAGGTTTCGATCTCTTCACTACATATTGTATGTTAAGTTCTTCCATAATCACGAGATTTTTGGAAAAAAAATATTTTCGGCCTATGTAAAATTCTTCCATATCGTTAGTGATACAAAATATCTCCCCACCCCCCTTCAATTTTATTATCATCATTAGTCATAGATAAATCACTTTTTGTTCGAAAATTAATCGGTCAGTCATTCATTCGGGACCAGGTGGTAAATCAAGACAGTCTTCTATTAGATGTCATCACGTTTGGTCGAATTTTGTGATCGACATCGAAAAATACGTGAAAGGAATTATTTATCGTTTCAAACAGAGTGTTCCCTAAAAACTGAGTGTTCCCTGAAAACTGAGTGATCGTATTGATTCGTACATAGTCTTTTTGTATTCCTCATTCGATTCAATAATAATAATATCGGGATCGTGTGTTGTTCTAGTGTTTTGTGTTGTTTCATCAGAGCCTCACTTTTTTTCACGCTGGTGAGTGCAGAAAAATTATCTCAATTTTTCCTCGTACTTCTCTGTATACATTTAACTTCATTACCGTATACAGGGTATGTCACGACGAACTTACACTATCTTCAAATCGAGAATCAGTCAGGAGAAATCCATGAAAAGGTGCATGCTCATATTTTGGTATACGCTCTTTTCATTTAAGATATGTTCGACAATGCAGTGTTGTCGCTTCTACTAGAAAGTAGTAGCAACATTGATATTTCGAACGGAAAACCCTGTATTTTATCGCATTTTAAGATTCTCCCTGAAAAGTTGATTACATCAATATATCATACAGAGATATAGGGTGTTC